CCCCCCCCCTCAATCATTATTCTGGGTTCCATCTCTTTCTGTATCTTCTATAAGCCGATTTCAGAATTCTCTGGTTTTTGTCCTCCCACCACCTGGGGTAAACGCCCTTGAAATCACAGGCTAAAGCAAACTTTTCTGCTCTTCATCCCACATGGCCATAAAAACCTCTACCAAGTGCAGTACAGAGGGTATGAGTCCCTCCTCCCAGGCTTCAAATCCTTCAGTCCCCAGCTCCACAACAAACCCCAAGTCCAGTGTAGACAGGCAAATGGCTCTAAAGGGTGCCTTCCCCAGGCTCAAGAAACATGTCAAACACACCCCCCCCTGCTTCCCTATCTCCTCCTTCATCCCCCAATCTTCAGGGATTAACACTTCCTGAAACATCAAGTGTTTTTATAAAAAGGAAAAAAATAATCCTGACATCGCTGACAAGAAGTTTTGATGGAAGAATTAGCTGGTGCATACATAATCACTCCCCCACCCTCCTACTCCCGGAGCGGGAGTCACCACGGGCACAGCACTGCCTTCCAACCCTCTGAAAAATGAAACCGGTTTCCACCCTTACCTTCTTCAGTGTCAATTTCAGATAATCTGGACACACACTCTTTGCTACATCAAATCAAAAGGGTCGAAGGCGGCTTTTGGCTGAGAGAATAATGAAGGGAAAGAAAAGGCAAAAAAAAAAAAAAAAAGCCCCCAAACCAAACAAAATAGAAAAAAGAAAAAGAAAGAAAAAAGAAAAAGAGGGAAAAGGGAAAAAAAGAAAAAAAACACAAAATCCACCGAACCAGGGCTAAACAAAACCAGAAAACCAAAAAGAATCCCCCAGCCCCATCCTCCTATCCTGAAAGTAAAAAGTGGAAAGAGGTCCCCAGGACCAGGCGCCTCCGAGAGCCGCAGGCTTTTTGCAGCGCTGCGCTTGCAGAATAGGACTGAAAATTTCGGCTATATAGCCTCTGTCTTTATAGCTGATGAAAAAAATTGCAGATTATTAGCATAAATGTTTACTCTTCATTACGCTGATGACATTGTGCACTCGAGATCTTGGTAATCTTTGGGAAAATTATGAGTAATTTTTAAAAATTTTAAAGCAGCAGCAGTTACCATGCAATTCAGGCTAATTCTGCGTAGGCTCCGAACGGATATAATTATCGAGGAGTCAAGATGTTATGCTAAAAACTATGCATTGATATTCCCATTTATTATGTACATACAACTTTGACAATGTTGATGCTTGAAATAGCAGGAAATTGTCTTGCGCAAAAATTACAGTCCATATTAGGACATCTGAAATTGCGAAGAATTATATAGTAATTGCAGGCTTTCAGATGGGAGAGCCAGAATGCTCAAACTAGTGCAAATGTGGATAAAATTACAGATCAGAGCAAAAATTAGGGAAAAAGGGGGTCTGGGATTTTTCAGGTTGGCTATAGGATTCCGGAAGTGTCTAATGCCACATGATTGCTGCAGCTTTAGGGGAGACATTCATGCCTCAAATAGCGCCTTGGCCAGGGTGGCTTTAATTGAATTTCTTGGGTTTTTTCTTTTAATAGGGGCAAATGAGGAAATTGGTCACCCTAGGCAATTTTCACTGTTCTCCCCATGGATGTGTAGAGGAGAGAATCCTTTTTCCCTCTTGCCTGCTCGCCTGGGCCAGGACACTTGGGAAGCCCCCCACACACACCTGGGGGGGCATTCTGCAAGCAACTAAGAAAGTGGATGAACCGGATCCCCCCTCCCATCAACTTTTCCTTCTTTTCCTTTCGAGGTCTCCCCTCCTCCGTTCTTCGGCCCCTTTCCCGGATTCTTGCAAGGTTCCTCCACTTGGCAGCCAAGCAGGGCACAGTGACCGGCCGGCTGGGCCTCGGGGGCCAGTGGCGGACTGAGGTGTCGGTGCCAGGCAACCACAGGGTGGTGATGCGGTGATCACCTCGGGGGAGTGTCAGCGGCAGCCAAGTGCCAGCGATTACCTGTCTGCCATTTGGGGGCTTCGGGTGGGGGGGCGGCTAGGGAGGAAGTCGCTAAGGGTTCTCCCGCCCGCTCTGCGACAGCCTGGGCTCTTCTTTTGTCTCCACTGCCTGGGAGACAGTATCCCCCCAAGGCTCCTTCCCCACTTGGGCGGCGCTTCTCTCTGGCACGGAGACACCCTGCGACTTTAAGAAGCCGAGGCCAAGCCCGTAGAGGGAGGGGGCGGGGCAAGGGCTGCCCCAGCGGAGGGGGAACTGGGCTGCGCCCGGCGGGAGAAGCAGACCCTAGCTCTGTCAACGCTCTGAGCCGCTGGGACTTGGCTTCTCCCGCCCGAAGTCCCCATTGTTTCGGGAACGGTGCTTTCACCTCTCGTGTCCGAGACTCCCGGACCACAGTCGGGAGGGCAGAGGCGGGAGGGTGTAAAGAGTTGCCCCGCGTCGGGCCGAGTCTGCCCGCAGGGAGCACCCAGCGTGCTCCAGGTCCAGGCTTTCCCTCTCCCTCCTCTATTCCCCTCACCGCCCCCACCCCAAGTGTAACCTCTGCACAGCAGCCCACAGCCTGGACCCATTCTCCATCTTCCGCAGCTCCCCGCTCAACCTTATGCTCCCAGCTCCTATCACCCGGCGGACCCGACCAGGAACGCAGCTGGTGGCACCAGAACTCCTGGGACTCCTTCTATCCCCTGCCACGCACTCTGGGAACTATGACATTGCCAGGGGTGCGCTTTGGCTCGGGAGGACGAGTGGGAGCCGCAGCTGGAGAGGTCCGGAGAAAAAAGGTCTGTCTGGAGACCCATCCGCGTTCTCACGTGGATGCGCCCAGTGGGTGCAGCTCCAAGACCTGTTGGCTCTTTCCTTTCACCAAAGGAGGAGCACTGGCTTTTCCGCCCCGCCCGGCCCCAGGCCCCAGGGCGGAATGTAACATCTTGTAATGTGGCAATCACTGCCAAACCCGTCCCGGAGAGGGGAACTCCCATGGCGGGGGTGGAGGGAGGGCTTGGAGGGATGTGGGGCCTCCACAATCCGCCTGCACTGGTGTGTGTGTGTGCGTGTGCGTGTGAGAGGTGCGGAGTGAGGGCGACTTGCCCAGCACATCCCGGGTGCGGAGTCCGGAGGAGGCTTTGGGTGCCACCCCTGTGAGAGATGGCCAGTCTCCGGAGTGCCAAGAGCCCAGGCGCCAAGGGCCAGGGCAGCGCTCCTGCTCACCGCTTCTAGGACCCTGGACCCAAAGTCTAATTCAAAGGGACCTGTCTTTTTAGGAGAAGATCTGTAGCTTCGTAGTCAAAGTTGCCTCTGATTCCAAGCAGGCTAAAGCCACTGGTGGTCGCTGTCCCCGGAAGAGAAGCTTGTGACTTTTGAGCATGTGGGGTGGAGGCAGGAGCGGGGAAATTACACCGGGGCATGACAGTCCGCAAGAACGACTTTTTGAAAGGCTAGACTTTCTGGTCGACCTTCTCTTTGGGGATGGGGTGAGGCGGTTAACATGGGGGGGGGGTGTCCATTCCTCCACTTTCGCGCTACTCTCTCCCTACTCCTTCTGCCTCCGCCCCCACCCATCTTCTTCAGAACTGTTTGTAAACAGCCTTCCTGTCTTCCCGCGCTCTCCGCCCCCGCCAAACCTGATACGTCCCGCAAATTCGCCCCACCAGTCTCGGAAATCCGTACACAGGACGGATATTCATAATTTTCACAAGTGATCCTGAAAAAAGGCCGAGGGGAAGCCTCCTAAACGGTCCCACATTGCAGCAGGGCTAATTAGGCCCGAGATCCGTTCCCTCTGTTTTCTGCCCTCCCAGCCCGGGAGCCTCCGCCAAGCGGCGGGAATTCGCCGCAGCCGGCGGGGGAGGGTCTGCACCCAGCCGAGCGCCCGGGGGGGGTGGCGCGCAGCCAGACGCGCTGTGGTTGTGACGGGTGGGGGAGAGGCGGACTGAAGGGGCGGGCGACGTGGGTGCGCCCGGGCGGCCCACAGCTGGCACTGCGACTCTGCCTGCGCTCCGCGGCAGTTCGGAGAGCCCTGCCAGAGGGTGGAGCGGAGAGGGCCGGGCGCCCGTCTCCTTTGGGCTACCCTCCCCCTGCTTCCCAGCGCTTGTCATATCCTGTCTCTGGTCTGATATTTCACGCGAGCAAATGGAAGGGGATTACAATGAAGATTTATGTGTGGCTTCGAGCGCGGCTGGTTTCCCAGTGTAGAGAGCCGAGATCGCTGCTTCCCATTTCCATTTTTCATTCGCGCTTTGGGGAGAGCAGCCGAACGCGGGGGGAGCGTGTCTGCGCCGCGGCGGGCTGATCACAGGGCTCCGCGTCTCCGGGCGGGCCGCGAGACTGTGAGAAAGACTTGCCAGCGCGTCGCCCCCGGCGGGGCTGGAGCCGGCCCCCGCCTCCTGGAGCCAGGCTTTGTTCCTCTCCTGGTCCAACCCTCCTCCTCCTCCCGCCCCCACTTCTGAGACCCGGGCGCGTCCTCGGGATCCCTTCTCTTTGCCCTTCTCCTAGTCTGCGGAAACGCCCCCTTCCCGTAGCCCCTGCACCCTCCTGCCCTAGGCATCGCTGTCTCCCCTGAGAAAGGCGCACAGTGGCCCAGCCCGACCCCGCCGCCGCCGGGTGCCAGGTTCGGTGACTCCGGCGAGTCTGTGGGGCCTTGGCCCACCCCGGAGCTGAGGCCGCCCGCCCTCCCGGCTCCCAGGCTCCGCTCATGCCAAGGCCTGTTGCGTGATTCCAACTTGGGCTGACATTCCCTGCCCCGGGCGCTCCGGCGTAGGCCTCTTAATCATCTTGTCTGCAGCAGATCCTCGACACCAGCCAATTTACTGCCCTGTCTCTCCCGGCTGGTTTCGGGAGGGGGGAAGGGAGCGCGCGCAAGGAGAGGAGGGCAGAGGCAATCGCAGGAGAAAGGCTGGCACCAGCTACTGGCACTCAAAACCCACGGAATTTAGAGCCCAGTGGGGTGGGAGATGGTGGACAAGGGGGTCTGCCAAACAGTGATTACTTAGGGAAAAGTCCAGAATCGAGGGTCATGGGTTTCAGCCCAGCTTAGAAAACCAATGCAGAAATGCTAAGGGCACTGGGTTGTGTGGCCTCCCTGCCTTTCCCAGAACCCCAATTCCCTGGACCACACTCCATTTCAAACTAGTCTGAGAGCAGAATCCAAAACGACCTGGCCAGAAACGTCAGAATTCTTCTTCAGATGATGCCACCAAACCTAGAAAGTCTCTCCACTCATGTCTGCTTCTGGGCCACATGAGTGGGCCAATCATGGATGGCCTGAATAACCATCCTAAGGGAGAAGAGATTTGGACCTGGCAAGCAGGGCTCTCTGCTTTGCCTAACTTCCTCTCCAGTAGAGGTGGCTCCCTTCAGGGGTGATGGCTGAGGTTCAAGCCTACAAGGGGCCAGAACTCTCCCAAACCCAGGTTGCTGCTTTCCCACAGGAAGTGAAGTTGGAAAAGCCTCTAGGTAATTCTGGGCTTCACAATAACAAACCTAAAGCTTCTATGTTTTTGGGTGCACTAGGTTAAAACGGTTATACTGAATACTAAGTGGCTGAAATGTATTGAGTGCCTGTCATTGCTTCATCAAATGCCAATGACAATTCTGAGCCATAGTTGTTATGGTTTCTCCTATCTTACAGATCTGTAAATATAACAGAGAGGTTAAGTAGGTTGCCCAAGGTCACAGAGTTAGTGATCCAAGCCAAGAAGTTTCCAGCTGTAGGCCTCAGTG